CAATCAATGACGTAATATTTTCAACTTTATTTTCGAGTACAAGATATCAATAAGCCCTTCAACAAAATAAACATGGCCATACCATCTCTAGATAAACTAATATTTATTAAAGTGACCTATGTTTTTACAAACAGTTTATGATGCATTGTCAATATTTTCCTTATTAATAAGTAGTTAATATTTATTTAATACGACCGGCCCGTTCGGCCTAGAAGTCATTTTAAACGTTACTGTCAAACGTACGACGAATAAAATGAATCAATTTCGATAATTTACATACATAAAGTTGTTTCTCTTTACGAAAGCTTGTTATTAAAATTTAGGGTTTTTTTTCTTGGTTACTGACAAAGTATAACATATCTAAACTGTTCTTTGTTCGTGAAATATATAGTCTCTGAGAAATGTTGAGCTCTTAAAATTATCGTAACAATTACAAATAATGGAGCAATGAAACTCTATAAAAGCTCACAAGTGAAAATTAATTGATTTATTGATTGACTGGTGTTTAACGCTACTTTCAACACTTTTGTGCTATTTCGTGGCGGTCAGTTTTTATTGGTGGAGGAAGCCGGGGTGTCCGGAGACAGCCACCGGTAGTAAAACTGACAATCCTAGTCAATTAAGATTGTAGTTGAGCGCACCAATAGCATGCGGTATTTGAACTCATAACCTAGACCACTCGGTCGCGGAGGCTCCCAAAGTGAAAATTAAGTTAAGCAACCAACAATCAATCAATCTGGTTCTTTGGTTTTTAATATCATTATTTTATTCCTTTTCTCTTATGTACTGTATGCAACTGCAGTTGTTTTTCTGTTTTTCCTATACACATTCATTTGTCTGTTTAGTTTCTGAATATAATTTGATCTTTGTTTCATATTTACTGTATTAAAATCAACAAGCTGTATGTTTTAAAATTCCATCATACATTAAAAACGTCTCATTGTGACCGGAGGCAAACAATACCATGTTTGCTCATATTCCAAGGATTTCATTTTTTCTTACTACCTACTCGATATTTGCCACCAAGGAGTTTAGTGAAAGATGGTATTTTTATGATGAAGATGTAGGTGCATTAAACTTGCGCGCATTACGATTATATTTGCACGTAAATATCATTACATTTGCGCAAATTTTATAAAATTTTACGCGCAATTGTAAATCTGCATGTGTAAACCCTAAATGCGCACCAACGTAATGCGCCGAGAGATATCACTTTTCAAGATATTGCCGTGATTTGTGGTGTCTCTTAACTTGCTGATTGTTTTTGAATCTTGACCACAGCTGATTTGTATAGAATCTTAACGAAAAGAACACTTTTTCGTGTGTCCGAAGCGCTTTTCTGGATTTATCCTCATCAAGAACGCTCAGACTTAAACATTCGAAAGCCAGGGATGCATGGTAGATACATTTACGTAGAAATTTGGGGTGCTATATAAACAAAAGGGATCTGAAAAGCATAGCCAAATTCATTAAAAGTCAACTTTGCCTGAGGACGTTGGAACCTTAGGGAGCTACCATTTGATTTTTATGGGGGGGGGGGGGGGGCTAGGATGAAATTTGAAAAAAATAGGCAGGACAAGAGTTTTGAGTAAAAAAAAAGGCAGGATGAGAGTATTTGCAAAAAAAAAAAGGCAGGATGACAATTTAGTTAAATAAAAAAGTCAGGATAAACTTAAAAAAGAAGGCAGGACCAAACAAGAGTTTTGAGTAAAAAAAAGGCAGGATGAGAGTATTTGCAAAAAAAAAAAGGCAGGATGACAATTTAGTTAAACAAAAAAGTCAGGATAAACTTAAAAAAGAAGGCAGGACCGAATAGAGTGAAAAATAAAAAGGCAGGACCGAATAGAGGGAAAAATAAAAAGGCAAGAACATCCTAGCCCCCCCCCCCCCCCTAAAAATCAAATGGTGGCTCCCTTAGTTTCTTATAATGATTTCCTTATTCATCAAATTGGAAACTTTTTAAAATAGTATGTTATAAATTATGTCAGTATCATTGCACTTACCACCCAGCTTAATACATGATACCACTAGGAACATTCTGTAATCTTCCTGTTTGCAACAAGAATATCATTCACAAATTAGAATGCAATTAACCATTATTGTGAATAGCAACTTACAATTAGAAGTATCATGTTATTAGCATGCTCAATTAATCATCGTAATACGATTATGACGTCATAATTAGTTTACTATCTTTGTCCCCCATTGTTGATGCTAATGTTATTATCTACACATCGTAAGATCCAGAATGAATGAATAGAATAGAAGGATATAGAACAGGATGAAAATAGCTTAAAGCGGTCTAAAAATAATACTTATTGACAAACAAATTATGCAATGAGAACGTTTTGCTTCACAACGTCACTGCATCATCGATACTGCTTCCCTTGCCTGAAATTCATTTCCGGAGACAATCCTGCATTTGACTCTTAAATTATTCAATAAGCAGTAATAACAACTGGTTCGTTAATAAATAAAGAAAACAGTAAAAAGATAGACCAAAAGTTAAAAAAAAAACACATGTCGGAAAAAGAAAGTTAGAAAGATACAACCATGGCCAATATTAAAAAAAAAAGTCAAAAAGACAAACAATGGTCAACAATGTGCTATAAAGCAAACTAAAGACCAGGAAACGCAAAACCCATTATAATTTGGGGTCAGCTCAGGAGCTTAAGAAGCGTAAACAGTTTTTACTTTATCAGCTACAGCCGAGATGATGAAATGAAGAGCAATTATTGTGAGCTCGAATTAGAAACAAAAAGTTTAACTACGCTCTTAATTCTTGTCCATATACAATTAAAAAAAAGTTGGTTCAATACGTTGAAAATCAAATAGATATGTATGACATTAATGCCTTGTCAACAAACAAAAACGATCCAATCTAATTATCACAGATCTAAATACTCTGGGAGAACATCTTAATTGCACTTATCGCTGTTGTTTTTCTTTGAAGTGAACATGTAATACTTCAGAGTCAAATTATGTGTTTTTCTATTATGATAAATAAATAACCATGCATAAACCATTTATTTCCCCTATAAGACCACGAACAATAGGGGAGGGGGGGGGGGGAGTCGGAAAGGGGGTTTGAATAGAGAGTAAAACAAATTTGTTTTTATTTCATAATTTTACTTTTGCGTATTAAATGCCTCCATATTTTTCCGACTTTTACCGATTACAAAATCAATTACTACCAGTTTATTGATTGATTGAAGCATAAACACGTTACGTCCAGTAACAAATAGTACATAATAGAAAAACAAAGGATATGGGGTATCAACAGTACATGCACTGCAAAAAAACAACACAAAAAGCAAAGGAACAACGATTTTATTGCTGTTCTTCATGCATCTCAAAGTCACAGTGTATTAAACATGCATATTCAGGACGATTACACGTTAATACCATACCTTGCTTTGTAGTAGACTGACACGTCAACTTACACGTGCTTACTGTCCAAATCAGAAGCCTATAATTCAGTGGTTGTTGTTGGTTGGTGTCTGTCATATTTGATTTTTGTTTATTGTTTTGACATATATTAAGCTGTTGGTTCTCTCGTTTGAATTGTTTCACATTTTGCCATATCAGGACCTTTTATATCCTTCTTTACGGTATATTTTTTGTTCATGGTTGAAGGCCTTGTAGTACCCTATTGTTTATATCCTCGTCATTTGGTCTCTGGTGGCTATTGTCTGATTGGCAATTATACACATATTATTATTCTTACTTGACATATGGAACACAATAATACTTCCATGCTCAAAGTTACAATTAATAAGAGGATGTCACGCTGCCACGACATATTGACAAAGAGTAATTACATTGTTTCGCTATTTCTCCTCATCAAGCAAAATTTTACAGGAAAACGCCTTTCTCAAAGATTTTGTTTCGACTTCACAGATGAAAGAACCTACGAACTGGAGGCGTGTACATACAGTTCAAGACCCTGAAATGTCTTATATGTCTTCAAACGATACATGTACGGGTAAATGACGAGGTAAAATAAAAAGGCGGGAAAAATGGCAGAAACGTGGTAAACTTTCGATGCTTTTTTGACTTCTCCTAAAATTCCTAGTGGCACGATTTAGATCTCGTGTTGTTGGGCTAATTTACGACTAGGTATTAAACTATATTTTGTGTTGGTCATGTCCTACAACCGGTTTCTTTTGGTCAATACACGTCTGAAATATCAATCTCAAAATGTTTTTTTTTTATAGGTTTAAGTTAGCTTTGATCAAATGGCAAAAAATGGACCATCCGTCAGAAAATTGTGAAATTTTGTTTGTACCATTTCGAAACCTAGATTTTGTATTGTACAAGTTTTCCCTATTTAATTGATGAACTATAATGATTGTATTTTGTATTTTGTATGTTGTTTTTGTTGTATTTTGTATTTTGTTTGTTGTTTTTGTTGTATTTAACGCATTTACCATTCCTTTTCCAATCAAATATACAATTTTCTACATGTTTGTTTCAAAAACAAGTAAAAAAAAATTCAATTAATCCTTTCTGAATGATACCCCGATATAGCTTATCCTGTTTTTGTAAAATAATCAGAGGACACATGTACTAGCCTATTTAAAACTTTTTACTATTTATGTTAATTCACAATAACAATTACGTGAAGGTACTAAAATGTAATGTTGAATCACAAACAAAACATATGACATGAGTGTCCATTTTTAAAATTTATGGAATTAACAGATATGTGAAAGTACTTCCGATTAAAGACACAAACATTGTATATCACCACACCGGAATGAGTTATTGACATATTATACCTATATACTAAAGTTGTTTATGAGTCATACAAGTATTAAACAACGCATGTTACATTGGTTGTTGACAGTGTATTCCTCTCATACCAAACAAATTTTAGTACCTTTAACTATGTTATTGTTTACCTATAGTGCGGCGAACTGTTGAAAATCAATGGTTTACACATTATCTAACGACCTTGACTTCTAATTTTAGATCCCGGTACTTCTCGGTAATCTTCGACAATCAATAGCAGTCGGTTGAAATATAAACAGCTTTGCTCTAATCAAGCTGCCAGTGTGTTTTGATCTTTCTGACAGTACAAACAGTATATCATCTTGTTCGTTAACTTGCCGGCTGTAATAAGATACATTGTTGTATCTGTGTAGAGAAAATGCCTTGCTTGGATTTGGCTTATTGTGAAATGGAACTGTAAGTGTATTTTATTTTAGATATGATTATTTTTTCTTATTCACATATAAACTAGTAGTGTCATTGAATGGTTTTTATTTTTTTTAGATATTGATCAATATTTACCATACATTATTTATTTTTAATGAATTTTGTTTACTATAATATATATCTTTGGTTCCTCTCAGGAGTTGAGTTCATTCTTGTTGGTTATGCAGGATGTGTAGATGCGGATTCAGAAAAGGGGGAGGTCTGGGGTTTAAAACCCTTTTTGTTTATGTTTTTAACTCATGCAAAATCCTTGTTTTTGTAATACACTGCATCTATCAATTTTCAATTTGAATCATTTACAACACACCCTTATAATTTTCTGACTCGATGCCTACACGCCTGATTGCAAAAATAGTTTGGGTATGCTACAAAAGACCGGGAGGGTCCTTGCAGCGTCTTAAATATAGGTATGCATAAATTGCCGAATCAAATTCCTCCTTGGGGGAAAAGTCAAAGCTCGATATTTTGTCACTGTCCGGTTGATAATATCCTGTGTTATGAATATGTCTTTTTATATAACCATTGTTGATGAACAAAAAATGTTTATTATAAAAAAAAACTTGGTGGTACATGTATTTGCATACAATATATTGTGTAATTGCTTGAAGTCCAGCCAAGGAAGGTATACGAATCTGACCGTACATATTAATTATGATAATTATTTACATGATAAAAATAATTTGTCCATACTTAATGTTTTTTCTATTTTATATTTGCAGGATAAAAAATGTATTTGATGGCAAAATTCCACAAATTCCTATGGTAGCACAGTTGAGAAATGGACGGTCAATAATTGTGAACTACATGACGGAAAACCAAATATCCGAAACCTACTGTATGATTCAAGAAGCAGCTCAATGTGGCGAAGGCTATGGAATAGATGAATTCGAATCGGAAGACGAGTTCCGAATGGAAATTAAAGACAGTGACTGTTTTGCAATCACATGTAAAGAATCGGGACTCCTTTTGGCTGGATTTATTATTGCAGTTAGCAAATTTTATAGAGGACACGGTGCTATGGCGGACCCATTTGTAATTGTCAAGCGAACCGAAAGGAAACAATATCTTGGAGAATTCGCTCTGAGTACAGCTGTCAAATTCGCAACTTGTCTTGGATATATTGGGATGTACATCGACACGTTTTCAAGTAACAAGGGCATGCTAAGGATCATTGAAAAGGTCGAGGGATTCCAGAAGGTCGGCATTCTACCGGTTGGCGGGAAATTACAAAATGGACAGATAGTGAGTTCTATAATATTTATAAAGTACCTGAAACCAATTGAAGGAAGCTGATGAATTGGAACATTTTCAAGGACTTCATCCCACGAAGTTTGAAAAATCTAAAGTCTTCAGACATTATCTGGCGTGAAACAAATGACATGATTAAAACGGCTAATGCGATAAAACCAAGTACATGCAACTGTTGTATGATGTAACTATTAGATACTGGACAATTCAATTGTTACTATTATTGTTTTATCCTGTAGCCCATTGCCAGACATGTGAGCGAACTATAATATAACAGAAGTCGGCAAAACAGATCATGTTTGATTAAACTCTCTGTAAGATCATTAAACTTTAATGACGTAGTAGGTCATTGTCATCGGGATCAAACCACACGATTTAAACCACCGGATGTTGTGTTCCTTTATTTATAAATGGCCATATTGATATTTTATTTGATAATTCCAACGATCTCAATTAATTGTTCCATCAAAATAAATTTTATATATGAATATGTTTATATTATTTGTTTGAGTTCATAGACTAGTATGTCACACAATGCACACACAAGAAGAACGGTTAAGGATCAATTTCAAATAGAATTGAGCATGGAAACGGGAAATGTGTCAAAAACAACAACCCGACCAAAGAACAGAACACAGCCCAAAGTACAGTATTAAATTATGGGTACGTTAAGAGTATATTATCAATTCGGATACAAAATATCCTCTTTCAAAACATACAATCTTGTTTATTCTCTTGTCAGTGGCGGGATAGAGATCAGCTATGTATGTAAGTGTCGTCCCTTTGATTTGTCCTGGACATTCATTTACACAAGACGCATTGCAAACATCTCATCGTGTCCGTATTCGCGGAGAGGGAGAACGCAAACATTCCCCTACAGTTGAAAAAGTAATTTCTTTTTAATTAAAACCCCCATTAAGATAAATGTACACATACATGTTGGGAAATTCAACATTTCACCTAAAATCACCTATACATGTTGTTATTATGTTGTTATGTTGTTGGGGTGCTGGTTCATTAACGTTTCCCTTACATCTCGTATTATTCAAATTCACGACAGCAAGTCTCGGGAGGCCAGTTGCTTCAATCATTGCTTTCTTCTGTAGGCATGTCGATGGTTGATATTATAAAGTTGGGAAATTATTGTACACAATTGAAATTTTGTTTTTGTTATGAAATATTCATGTTGATTGCAATTCTTTGATATTTTCTGGAAGGTTTCATTTATGTTTAATTGGTGCACCTGCTATTTTGGAATTGTTCAAGGAATTTTTCTCATTTTCCAGACTTTGGGAATAAGTCATTATTCAGCAATACTTAGTGACAGTGGCATTTCTGAATTAAATATACACAGATACAATCATTACAAAAGTTAAGACTTCATCTAAAATATTATAATTACTTACCCTTGAAATATTGTCATTAACTGCCCCGATCCCTCCATAAAAAGAGGGTATGAGATATCATGGGTCAATATAAACCCATTAGTCAATGCAAAATCGCCATTATAACAAAAGAAAAACAGACAACACCATAACCAAAAGAAATAGACAAAGAAGACTAAAGAATGAGCAACAAAAACCAAACCAAAAACCGATAATAACTCGGATGCTCTAACAGGGCCAGAATTTATTGTTCCTGCTCCACAAGTTACACAGGATGTTCCTTGAAGAACCAATCAGAACTGAGGAAAACGATATTGTCTTATAGATATACCATTGTAGTAATACTATTGGTGCCTTTTTTCAAAAACTAATAAAAGGAGATATGATGTATACATCAATGAGACAGCAACCGAACGACAATATATAAACCAAAACAATTCTACAACCCTTCTATGGTGCGATTATAGGTTTCAATCATCTAACTCAACTCTGTATTACTATTTACATAGAAGTGTTATCATTTATCAGCAAAATTTCATTTTGGCAATTAAACCATGAAAAGACCAGATAGTACAGCGACTCATACTTGAGGCTTACATCTAATACATGTATATATTTATATATTTCTGAAAACGAAGAAGACGGTATTTATCGTATGGATATGGTTAAATGAAAAGGAGACGGAAAACATTACACATTGCATATATGTGTTATATCATTCAAAGACAGTCTGAATCCAAGTTGAACCTCTAGAACTATCTTTTACCAATTATAACTATTAATTCATCAAAATAGGGAACATTACTTTACATTTCTTTTATTATGTCTGCAACGTGATGTATAATCGATTACAAGCCAAGTGTTAGCACACTGAATGAGACATAATGATTGTTTGTGTATTAACAAAAACGTGTGCTTATTAAATGACATTTATAAAAGAGTCTTTTGACACCTTGGTTATTTATAGAAATTGAACTTAAATTCAACCGTAATTGATTTTTTTGGTGTCAAGCACTTTTAACACCCTAGTAGAATGTCCTTGAAGATTGTATGAATGACATAATGACAACTGAAATGCAGAATGAAAAGTGTCTAGAAAATATGATATTATATGATTTTTTTGGTGTCAAGTACTTTTAACACCTTATTAGAATGTCCTTGAAGATTGTATGAATGACATAATGACAATTGAAATGCAGAATGAAAAGTGTCTAGAAAATATGATATGATATGTTATTCAGGATCTTCACTGACAATGGGCTCATATTCCCAAGTCAGGAATATGACAGTTGTTTTCCATTCGTTTGATGTGTTTGAGCTTTTTATTTTGCCATTTGCTAAAGGACTTTTCGATTTGAATTTTTCTTGGAGTTCGGTATTTTTGTTATTTTACTTTTTTAGCTCACCGGGGCCCGAAGGGCCACATGTGAGCTTATGCCATCACTTGGCGTCCGTCGTCGTCCGTCGTCGTCTGTCGTCGTCTGTCGTCGTCGTCTGTCGTCGTCTGTCGTCGTAAACTATTTCAAAAATCTCCTCTGAAACTACTGGGCCAAATACCTTCAAACTTTAACTAAATGATCCTTAGGGTATCTAGTTTATAAATTGTATCCGAAGTTTTGATCCATCGACAAACATGGCCGCCATGGCTTAAAATAGAACATAGGGGTCAAATGCAGTTTTTGGCTTATATCTCAAAAACTAAAGCTTTTAGAGCAAATCTGACATGGGGTAAAATTGTTCAGTTGGTCAAGATCTATCAGCTCTGAAATTTTCAGACGAATCAACTGCCACCGAATTGGTAGTTTTAACAAAATTTTGCAGTTTTTTGTTATTATTTTGAATATTATTATAGATATATATAAACTGTAAGCAGCACTAATGTTCAGCAAAGTAAGATCTACAAAAAACTTAATATGACAATAATTGTCAATTGACCCCTTAAGGAGTTATTGCCCTTTAAAGACAATTTTACACAATTTGTTCATCAAGTTTGCTAACATTTAAAAATCTTCTCCTCTGAAACTACTGGGCCAATTACCTTCAAACTTTAATTAAATGTTCCTTAGGGTATCTTGTTTATAAATTGTTTCCGAAGTTTGTATCCATTGACAAACATGGCCGCCATGGCTAAAAATAGAACATAAGGGTCAAATGCAGTTTTTGGCTTATATCTCAAAAACTAAATCTTTTAGAGCAAATGTGACATGGGGTAAAATTGTTTAGTTGGTCAAGATCTATCAGCTCTGAAATTTTTAGACGAATCGAACAACCCATTGTTGGGTTGCTGCCACCGAATTGGTATTTTTAACAAAATTTTGCAGTTTTTTGTTATTATTTTGAATATTATTATAGATATATATAAACTGTAAGTAGCAATAATGTTCAGCAAAGTAAGATCTACAAAAAAGTTTATATGACCAAAATAGTCAATTGACCCCTTAAGTAGTTATTGCCCTTTAAAGACAATTTTACACAATTTGTTCATCAAGTTTGCTAACATTTAAAAATCTTCTCCTCTGAAATGCAGGTGAGCGATTCAGGCTCTTGAGAGCCTCTTGTTATATCTCGCAAAGGAGATATAGGGCGCTTACATGGAATATGAGCCCATGTCCCTTGTGAAGCCCGAATAACAATTATATATGTCGCTCATATCCCCTGTTTAGGAAACTAATCAAATTGCAGGATTAACCGGGAAATTCTCTCCAGTATAATATCTATATGTATTAGATGTAGGCTTTTCATATCTGAGGGGCATCAGTCCAGAAGATATGAGAAGGAAGATTACATCGGATTTACATAGAAGTAATAAATAATTATTTAATCTTTTCTCTTGTTCTTTAAAGAGCAATTAGTTATGATAAAGAAGGAATGGTGCCATTATCTCAAATTTCCGAGATGCAATAACACTTTCAGAAGATGTTTCATAGTTATTATAGATTTAGAATGAAATCTTAATTACGTCTATTTTTCTGTCATCAAATTGATATGTGTGTACCTAATCACTGCTTTTGTATGTCAATATATGAACCACAGTACTGTACTATCTTGTCTGCTTTGTTTTAACTGCCAAAACCTGCACTTTTTGCTGATAAATGATAACACTTCAATGTAAATATTAATACACGTTTTCAGCATAAGAAATACGTGAACAGATAGTTTATCATCTAAACTAATCCATTGAAGCCTTATTCAATTACCTGAATAATAATTCTGCTTCGTATATTTAATTAAATTTTATCATTTCAGTAAAAAATCAAGAAAAGGAAGAAGAGCAGCGAACAATAGTGAGCTAGCATGTTTGAATATGGCTAAGCGTGTTGGTCTGCACAAAACAGGGTATATTCATGCATGTATTCTAAATAACCATAATAATATTATTATCGGACGCAATATTAATTTAAATATTTGCAGCCGGACGATAAGCAACCACATCAATCAATTTACTGTGTTACAACTATGCAAGTATTTTCTTAGCAAGACAAAAACCTTTTGATTTTAAAAAGACCAAACCAAATATTTTTTGTATTAACTGTACATAATAATGGTTTACTTTTATAAATTGTGACTTGGATGGAGAGTTGTCTCATTGGCACTCATACCACATCTTCTTATAATTATAAGCGTTTACTGGTACGTATAGCTTTGCCACGTGCGAGTGTATATAGCTTTGTCACATGCGTATAACTTTGCCACGTGCGTATAGATTTGTAACGTGCGCAAAGCTAAATAATGCTCGTACACAACTTTGAGTACTTACATTTGTGTATAGTCGTATACAATTTGCTCAAGATGTTCCTAAGTATGACAGGCTAGTGATTAGTGATTGATTGATATTTGGTGATGAACGCCACTATCAGCACTTTCGGCTATAACGTGGCGGCCACTTTTTTATTGGTGGAGGAAGCCGGAGTGCACGGAGAGAACCACCGATCATCGGCAGGACAATTGCTAATCTTAGTCAATTCAGATCGGAGTCGAACGCACCTGCCACGTGCTGGGTTAGGATTTCAGTGTTGACAGACTAGTGATCATTGCTGTAGATGAACTACTTACGACTAATAGACCACTCGGCCACCGAGGACCTCTTGTCTCATTTGCAGTCA